TATATATTCTTTTCTTTCAATGCCGTTGCCACAAAGCCTCAACGCAGCAATGTGTGTGCATGCGTCACATATGTATACCCTCTTCTTTCCACCACTTGCATGGAGCGCTGGCGACTGAATTTATATCAACAGCTCCAAAGACATCTCAGCGCTGCTCCCTCTGCCGCTGGCGTGCCGCACTTTCCTGCCGCAGTGCTTTTCTCTCCGCCTCGATGTGCTGCAGCTCATTCACCTCCCGCTCGGTGCGCACAATGGCGCTGCGGATGCGTGCGAGGCGCTTGTTCATAGCGTAGTACTTTGCTTCACAACCGTGGTCGTGTCGCTGCGCCACGGAGTTTACCAGCTGGAACGACACCTTTTCCTCCTGCCGCCGAAGATGGCGCAGGCGGACAAACGGATCCAGCGTCTCCACTGCAGCATCTTCGGTATTCTCGCCATCCACCTTACCTGATTGTTGTTGTTGCTGTTGTTCCGTTGTTCTTGTCAAAGTGTCGGTGTTGGCGACGGAGCCGCGGCAGGTATAGGATCCGCTTCGGTTCGACAGCGACAGAGATCCACCAGGGTGGAGTGCCGCCTCCATCTGCGAGCTGTCGTTGGGGCGCCGTCGCACCTGGCAGCTTTTGACGACCAGTGGGGTGTCCACGCGCTGCTTCAGCCCGTTTCCACACTCGTCCCTTTTCTCGCTGTCATCTTCTGTGTGCACCAAGGAGGGGTCGCATCGTGTGAGCGTGCCGTGCAAAGTGTGAGGNCTGGGGCTCCTGCTGCTGATGCTCTCGCCGCCGCCGCCATGAACGGCATCGTCTCCACCATGTGCGTTCCGTGCCACGCGCGAGTTGTACTTCTCACCCGCAGAACCGGTCGCCCTGGGAGGGACAGCGTGTGTGGGGGGAGTGCGTACGAGCGCTGCTGGTGCCCTTGACTCGGGGGAGGAGGTGCCCCTCATAGCCCCAGAATGATGGTGTTGCTTCCTGTCCGGTAGAGCTCTTTCCTCCCGTCCGCCACTGTTATAGATGCTGCTCTTTCGGAGCGCAATAGCCAACAGCGGCGATGTCGCCTCCGCAATGCACAGTGAGAGATTCTGCACGAGCGCCACTTCGTCTTCAAGTGGATTCCCTGGCGGTAGCACAGCTACGCCGCTGTCGTGGCCGCGACCCTGCTGCGAGAAACCGTCATCCTCCTGCATGCCGAGGAGGCTGCTGAGCTGCGGACGCAGCCGCTGGTGCATCTCGAGGAAACCAGCAAGTGTCACCTCACACGGGTCCGCATCAAAGGCGACGAAGGCGCCGTCGAGTTCCTGCAGCAAGTCCCGCACCTCATTGTGCATGTGGGTGAAATACGCCGACCACAACCGCTGCATCACCTCGCAGAAGCGGGATGCGGCGTCGGCGGCGGCGACAGCGAGGGATGCGGTGAGCTGCGCGGACATTGCTGCTGGTGCTGCTGCATTTGGGTGCAGTGGTGTATCGTCTTCATCGGTGCTGTTGCTGCTCATCAGAGCCTCGGGGGGCGATGGCGCACAATTATTTTCGTCACCCCACGGTCCAGTAATACCGTTCTTATTGCTGCTTTCTCCTTCGCGCAGCGGAACCGGCCCTTGCTGGTGCAGCACCTCCGAGAGGCGCCGGCAGAACTCATCGTCTTTGCGGAGAAAGTACAGAGCAGCCGACACCCCCGCTTCCCTTGGCTTTGCGCACCTCGTTTGGTTCGCCTTCGCCACGTCTTGCAGCTTGGCCTGTAGCTCAAACAGCAGCTCACGCTGTGTGTCGTAGGCGTATGTGTAGCGCCGAAGCTGATGCTCCAGCCGCTGTATCTTCCCCTGAAAAACCGCCTCCATTCTGGAGGGGCAGCGGCAACAACAATAATGCCACCCACACCACCAGACGCAGTACTGCCACCCTCCTCCTCCTCCTCCTCCTCCTCCCACGCGCTATTTCTGTTCCCTTACTTGAGAAGGGTGTGAGCCCACGTGTGTGTGCGTATGTGTATATTTATGCAGAGATGACACGACAAAGAGCACACACTCCATGCACACAAGGCCATATTACCTCGCACCACATCACACAGAGACACACGCACACCCGCCCGCTTCACCGATGGAGTGGCACCACGCGCAAGA